AGCCAGGACCCTCCCTGAGCCAGTCCTGACCTCTAGAACCACTTTATTCTGGCCAGATAAAGTCTAAGAGACTCCCCATTTTGGCTAGAGTTTTGAGTTCTCCTGTGACTGACTAGACAGCTTTGGAGTGTTTCCTGCAGCCTCAGACGGGCAGTGCCCTGTCCCTGTGGCTGGATCAAATGCTATACTCTGAAGGCTTGTGGGGTCGTGGAGTGTCCATGGCACCAAGGCCAAGGACTAGCTAGCATCCTATGCTTCCTTTGTTTGAGGACTTACCACCCTAGCCGAGACCCACACTGGTTTCATCGCTGTTTGACTGGTCTTCTCTTAGGCAAAAAGCAGAGAAGGGATGGCGTCTGATCTTTAGTTGACATTTAAAGCAATCTGAAAAGGGATGAATAACTGCCTAGACATATTTAGGTTGACCCTGGTTTGGGGTGCTGGGGATGGGCCTCACAAATGCGAGCAAGTGCTCCACCGCCGGTCCCCAGGCTGACAAGTTCTCCCTCTGCAGGACATTGTGAACAGAGAGTCCAGCCAGGATACCTGGAAGACCATCTTGTCGGAAGTGCGCTTTGTGCATGTGAACACGTCTGCTGTCTTGAAGGTGCAGGGTAGCTCCTGGGAGACCTGTGCTCACATAGGCTAGCCATGTGATGAAAGTCATCCTGTGCTTATAGTTCACGCCGTGGCAGACGGTCCTGGGAAGACTGGAGGCAGGGGTCTGCGGACACACCTGCTGGGGTTAGCAGCTCATGTCATGCTCTTTTCCTTTCTCGGTTCTGCTAGCTTAGCGGGGCTCACCTCCCTGACTGGGGATTTCGGCAGTTGGAGGTGGTTGGGGAGAAGTCCCGAGGCCCCCACGAGAGCATGGCGTGGAATGTGGAGGAGCACCGGTACGGCACAAGTGAGTCACGGAGGGGCCCAGGGCCCAGATTCTGCGTGTCTCTGGGATGCCATGGCACCTCAAGAAATACCAAAACAGCACTGTTGGTGTAGAGGGACCTTAGCCCCTCCGTTCTGTTTGGCTGAGTTCCTTGCACTGATCCATGCTTATATGAGGTGTTTGTGCTGTGGAGGGGGTTGGGGAAATAGCAAATCATGCATCCCAGGGTACGCTAGTCCTGACTCAGCAGGGGAACTTGGGGTGTGGTGGGAACCAAGTGGAATGATGCAGTCTGCTGTGGTGTCCTTGTGGGTTATTGGAAAGACCTGGGGGCAGCCTGGTCCTCAGCCTTGAGCCTCACTGTGTCTTCCTTGGTGTCCACGTCAGGCCAAGAGCAGAAGGAGAGGGAACTGGAGCTGCATTCACCTACGCAGGTTGACATTAGCAAGAACCTCAGCTTCATGGCCAGATTCTCGGAAGTACAGGTGACGAGTGGTTGGAGGGATGCCGCCCTTGCTCAGCGGGAGCGTGTTTCTACCGGGAAGGCACTGAGTGCTGCTCAACTCTGAAGGTCCAAATCCTCGAACCCGGACTTCAGGCTCTGTAGCAGAATGAGTGTCTCTCCCTTCTCAGGCCCCCTGAACCTGCACCCAGTAGTCAGGGACAAGGGGTTTCTGCATCAGTGTGACATTGCAATAATGCCAGGGCGTCTTATGACCTCCCATCAGGTCAAAATGGGCTACAGTCACCTAGCTGAGCCCTAGGTAAATGAGGTAGACTTGGAGAGCCCATGGCATGACTGCTGTCACTTAGTCTGCAGAGCCCAGGTTAGTGTGCAGGGACCCCTGCAGCACTTGCCAGATAAACTCAGTCTGGGCAGTTGATATACAAGGGACAACACTGTTAGGCCACACTGACCTTGTGGCAGCTGGAGGCTGGATCATCCTCTGCAACCTGTGCTCTATTCTGTGGCAGTGGAAGATGCTGACCCTGAAAAATGAGGATTCTGAACACAAGTACAGCTCCACCCCGCTCGAGTGGGTCACCCTGGACACCAACATCGCCTACTGGCTACATCCCAGGACCAGTGTAAGCAAGCATGTGTGAGTCCCAGGCAAGTCCCTGTAGGAGTCCTGGGTTTCTCCAAGGCTAAGGCTCAGAATTGGCTTTTTTTTTGGGGGGGGGGGAATGACACTGGGCAGTCCAAGGCCTGAACCACTCGTTGCCAGGGAGCAAGGCCACCTCTCGTGTGGCCTGTTGAGGGAACCCCCTCATTACTAGCTTTTGTGGGGGCCCACTGCTGCCTACTCCTTCAGTCTTAACGGTTTTCCCTACAGCACCCAAGCTGTTGTGTGTGTGTTGTGTTGTGTAATGTGATATGTTATGGCTCTGGTTATGTTGCCTCCACCACAGCAGAATGGAAGCAGCATGGGGCTGCATGGAGGCAGAGCTGAGCAGAGTAGTCACTCAGTGAGGTAACGCTAAGACCTCCCAGCACACATCCAGTGGGACTGAGGGCATCAGCATAAAGTGAGGGCACACGGAGCAAGTCCCAGGGCTGCCCCACAGCTGTGTGTGTGCAAACTGAGATTCTCTTTCCAGGTACCACCTTCCTGTGGATAACTGTGTTGTTAAAAGAGGAATCCCAAGCCAGGCATGGTGGCACACGTTTGCGACAGGGATCGTATATTTGAGGCCAGATGAACAGGGGCTGTGGATAGATCTCAATGGCAGTGTATGCTCCACATGCACAGAGGTCTGGATTCATGCCCACACACCAAGTTTCCAGTGCTTCTAGTTTTCAGTATTGGCAAACAGGGTTGAGAATGCTAATGCTTGTCTGAAAAGTGGCTAGGGGTGAGTCACCCGGATGAGTTGCAGATGTGCCTGTGAGGTCTTGGACTGCTGGAGTACATTTGGCTTCACTGTGGTCGCTGCCGTCCCCGAGGTGAGGGCAGGCAGTGAGCGGCGCCCTGTGCTTTCAGGCTCAGATCCACTTGCTTGGAAACATCGTGATCTGGGTTTCAGCCAGCCTGGCCACAGTGGCCTACACCCTACTCTTCTTCTGGTACCTGCTCCGCCGGCGAAGGAGTATCTGTGACCTCCCTGAGGGTTAGTGTTTCCTTATGCATAGGTGACAGCCAGCTTTATTAGAACCCAAGGCCCTGGGCAGGTAGGGGCCCTAAAAACACCTGTGGCAGTTAAGATCCACACCACAATTGAGATTTCTTTAGCAGGGAGTGCAGGGGACAGAGCTTAGTTCAGGGTTGCCTGCGTGCACCAGCAGTCAGCAAGAGGGGTGGGGTGGTGCTTGTGAGCAGCTGACAGAAATGCATTTGGAAAGAAAACTCCAGCACTGGCCCACCAGGTCCCTTCTTTCTACTGACTTCTGCTACAGTTCTGGTCGCAGATGCAGCTCCCTGAGTAGCTGAGAGCAGACTTCTCAGATGGGAGCAACCTGCCCTTACACTGGCCACCAGCTAAGGTTGGCAGGGGACCTCGCAGGGCTGGGCCTGGCCTCACCCTGAGTCTGGGGTCTAGGAGAAGAAAAAGTTATCAAGACTCAGGAAGAAGCAGCAGTGTCATTGATCAGTCCAATTAGTCCTGGGGGTAAGGGAATGAGGTACTGAGGACAGTATGTGACTTAGGAATGAGCCTGGGCTCAGTGACAGTGCTGCTCTGAGATATGCCTTCCTCCAGATGCCTGGTCCCACTGGGTGCTGGCTGGAGCCCTGGGTACTGGCGGCTGGGCACTCAACTACCTGCCCTTCTTCCTGATGGAAAGGACGCTGTTCCTCTACCACTACCTGCCAGCACTCACCTTCCAGATCCTGCTGCTGCCAATTGTCCTGCAGCACGTCAGCGACCACCTGTGTAGGTACGGGCACAGTGGGCCTTAGGGCCACAAAATGGGGAGAGGCTTAACCACCGGCCAGCACCGGCTCATGTTCCCGACTTGGTGGGATGTGGCAGACAGAAAGCTTTGGTTTGGTGAGGCATGGTGGCGCACACCTTTAACCCCAGCACTCAGGAGGCAGAGACAGGCAGATCTCTGAGTTCAAGGCCAGCCTGGTCTACAGAGTGAGTTCTAGGACAGCTAAGACTGTTACACAGAGAAACCCTGTCTCAAAAAAAACAAAAAGGAGCAGAGGGCCTCGATGTGGAGGGCATGATGAGGGTCGTGTACAATGTGTCTGGGCAGATTAGGGTTGGCATAGGGCACAGAGAAGCAGGGAGGTCTAAGGAACACACAGATAAAGTACACAGGGGTCAGCAGGTTCCTGGGCAATAGCCAGGCAGGGATCTGTGGGGAGGCAAGCCAGATCCTCTAACCTCACTCTCCCTGCTGCCCACAGGTCCCAGCTGCAGAGGAATGTCTTCAGTGCCCTGGTTGTAGCCTGGTATTCCTCTGCGTGCCATGTGTCCAACATGCTACGTCCACTAACTTATGGGGACACATCACTCTCACCAGGAGAACTCCAGGCCCTTCGCTGGAAAGACAGCTGGGACATTCTGATCAGGAAGTACTAGAGAACAAGACAAGCATGCAAACAGGATCTCAAAACAGTGTTTGTCTCCCACCAGCAGAGGCCTCAGCGGACAGGGACTGGCTGGGTCCAGTAAGGACTCCAGGAGTTAATTGTGGTTTCTCATTTGAAGTGATTTATTCTTCCTCACACAGTGAAGAATATGCCCTGCCACAGCCTCACCCAGGAGGCCTGACTCTGACCCAGCCAGTGTTTGAGCTGCCAGCGTAGGAACCACAAGGCAGGTAGGAGCACCCAGCCAGCGAAGGAGTGGACAAGACTCATGTCATGAGCCTGAGCCTTCCTGCCAGCTGTGGGCCACCAATGAGGTCTTAGCCCTGCCTTTCACAAGGCCTTCAGTCACCCCAAACAACTCGCTGTCTGCAGGCACAGCTGACCTTCATAAAGCCTACTTGGAAATCTGACAGTGCGTTAACGCCAGGACTTCTCACTGATCTGTATTTGAAAACCCCTTCCGGGAGATTTCACCAAGCATCTTCACCTGTCTTCCACAGCCAAGATGTCATCCATACACTTCCTTGCCTTGAATTTGCCTTTCCTAATGTAAATAAAAAGGAACAAATTGATAGGGTTTTTTAGTGTTATTTATTGATTCTTCCTCCAAAGAGGGGTTTCAGTTCAACAAAACCAGTACAGCACTAACAGAAACCAGCCCCTGAGCTCAGCTGCTGTCATGAGAACCAGGTTGTATTTAACAAGAACAAATGAGAAGTGCCTTCGTCATAGCCTATGACAATAGCAAAGGACACTTTTCCAAAAAGGGCCATCCCATAGGAGGGAGGACAAACTTGACAACATAGGATGGACCATTTGTGAAGCCATGAGCTCAGGTTCGGCATGCAGGAGATCAGCTGGCTTTAAGCAGCCATGTTCACGTGACTCCGCTCTACTCTCCAGTGCTCTCCTGGCTACACATAGCCTTCCCTGGCACACTAGCCATGAACTTTACCCAAGTGGCTTATACATGGACAGCCCCTGGGGCTCAAGGCTTCCTGCAGAATTGTGAAAACACTATTTTAGCACAAGAAACCCGGTGGCCGCCTCCCATCTATCCACAATCCAGGCCCCGTGATACCCAGGAGTCCCTCGCTGCTTAGTGTCACGTGGATAGACATTAGGGTTCCTTCCTGCCTCAGGCTCCTTAGATTGGACTATAGCCCCGTGGTAGGTTGTTAAAACTAGGTTCATTGGTCACAAACAGCCTGCCACAAAACAAACAGGATATATAACATTTCTTCAAACTTTACTCCTGCAACATATACACGAACCACATACTGGGAGCACGTCACTGTGGCTCCCTACCAACGCCAAGCCAGCCAGTGCCAGGGCTGTCCTCAGCTGCCCCATAATGTATGTCCTGCATCCCTCTGGAAGCCAGCACCGTGGGCTTTCTATGCAGTTTGGTACACTTCTCAGTGACCCAGAGACCTGCTGACCTCCTCCAATGAAAGGAAGCAGAAGACACGGAATGCCCTGTCAGCATGAATCTGCCCTCCCAAGCAAGGAAGGCCTTGGTCCTAAATGCTGCCAACCTAGATCCCACTGAGAATCCCTGACTGTGCTTTTAAGGGCAAGTGGTTGCCCCCAGGCCCAGACCCTTCATCATGGGTCTATGGGGAACCTACATATGCTGGTCTCAGTGGGGCCTGCTGCTAGACTCCAGGTGTGAGCGCTTGCCAGTGGCCAGCACCCCAGGGTGCTCTCCTGGCTCGGGGAAGGTCCTCTTGTAGTTGCGCCCATTGGGCCCTCCTCTATGCCGCTTGCACAGGTCACCATTGAGAATGTCCTGGATGTGCTGAACAATCAAGTTGATGGCGACTGCAACGAGACACAGGAAATGCCCATCGCATTCACTCCAGAGAGCCTTGCAACCTGTCCTCAGTCCCCTACTCTGCAAAGCACTCTGGCCTACAGGAAAGCCACTGTGCCTCTCTGCCTCCCAGCAGTCCCCAGGACCTGCCTGCCCGCCCGCCCGATGTCTCCGCAGACAGAAGGCTCACAACTGGACAAGCACAGCACAGCTCCCTGGCCGCTGTTGTTAATGTTGACTGAGCCTGATAAAAACACATCTCAAGCCGGGCATTGGTGGCGCACGCCTTGAATCCCAGCACTCAGGAGGCAGAGGCAGGTGGATGTCTGTGAGTTCGAGGCCAGCCTGGTCTACAGAGCAAGTTCCAGGACAGCCTCCAAAACAGAAAAACCCTCTCTCGAAAAAACCAAACACCTCTGAGTGTTTGGAAAGTACACATGAACCCATGACCCAGATGAACGTGGACAAGCCCCATGCATATACTTGGGAAGCAAGAGGTGGCAGCCTCTACATCATGGCTTGGGAGTAGGGCTGAGAGTTGCTTACCCATATTGTCAACTCCTCGGGGGATGATCACATCAGCATACTTCTTGGTCTGAAAGATACAGAGGAGTCTCCTGAGGCTGTCTCCTCCAGGTGACGTTAACAAGGGATGAGAGCCTGGGTGTTGGCAGCACTGGTGAGTTGGGGACAGTCTTACACAGGTGAGAGGTGGGGTCTGGACAGTGAGGCAGGAGATGAAGAGTGAACTTGCACATCAGTGCCTGCTGTGTTTGCCTGGCCACAGCTTATTGCTGGCTTAGGTGGGCGTGACACCTCCCACAGTTCTTGGCCTCTCAACATGGGACTGAAGTCTGCAAGTGTTCTATAGGAATGAGTATGACAGGACGAGAGCTAAGCCATGTACAGCCTGTGAGCCGGCCTGCACTGTATGAAGACATACATGGCACCGATCACCTGCATCCTCTCTGCTTATTTGTTCTAATGCCAGTGACACTCCAGCAGGACCACTGAGGAATGCAGGGGGAAAGATGATGCTGAGGGGACATGGTTGAACCAGGAGAAGCCCAGAGAGGGAGAGGGCATACTCTGGCAGTGGGCCCAGGAGGGTCAATACTGCCAGTCTGTATGTTTGGGTTAAGGAGGCCTGTCCTCACAGCAGACAGGTTGCTGAAGGCAGTGGAGACCCTTCCTGTGAAAGCTGAGTGGATCCAGCAGTACCATCAGGCAGGGTGAAGAGGGGCAGCCTAGAAATGCTTTGAGGGGCTGGCTGGCTTGCATGATGGGGAGGAAACCCTGGGGAGGTCAGCAGCACAAGGATCAGGCATGGAGGTGGCGGCTGCTCAGATGCAGGACTGGGGTTTGCTGCCTACTCACCACCTACTCAGCAAGCCCCGTGGGACTGCAACAGTCTGTGCTTCACACATTAATACTTTCCAGAAACTTGAGAACGCATGAGCACTAAAGAAAACCTCTTTCAGTCAGGTGTGGTGTACACTGTAATCCCAGCGCCCAGAAGGGGCACTTTCCATATCAGCAAATGGAAGTTATCTATCCTGTTTTTGACTGTTCTGGTTCCTTTACTTTTGGGGCCAGAGACAGTCTCTGCATTTCTGGTTCCTTTACTTTTGGGGCCAGAGACAGTCTCTGCATTTCTGGTTCCTTTACTTTTGGGGGGCATGTGGTGGGTCTCTCCATGTATCTCTGTCTGTCCTGGAATGTACTATGTACACAAAGCTGGCCGTAAACACTGAGATCTTCTGCCCTTGAGTTCTGGGATTAAAAGCATGGACAACTATACTCAGCTTTTCTTTTTACTTTAAGAGATAAAATCCCGGGGACTGGCCGGGCACTGGTGGCGCACACCTTTAATCCCAGCACTTGAGAGGCAGAGGCAGGTGGATGTCTGTGAGTTCAAGACCAGCCCGGTCTACAGAGCAGGTCCCAGGACAGGCTCCAAAACAACACAGAAAAACCCTGTCTCGAAAAACAAAAACAAAAAAAACAAAACAAAACAAAAAAATCCTGGGGACTGAAGAGATAGCTTGGCAGGCAATTAAGAGCACTTGCTGCTCTTGCAAGAGGACTCAGTTTAGTCCCTAGCACCCACATCTGGCAGCTCACAACCTGCTCCAGGGGATCCTACACTCTCTTCTGGCTTCCATGAACACACCCATGCACATACACAACACACACAAATACACTTTTTTAAAAGAGGCAAAATACTATTAAGCTTCTCTTTAAAACACTCCAATATGACAATGAGTGTGATGGCTCACACTTAAAATCCCAACACTCAGGAAACTAAATATAGAAGCCTTCCATGAGTTCAGGGTCAGCCAGGGCTACAACCCTCAGCTCCCCACCACCTCCCTCCCTCCCTGAATTGGGTAAAGCTACAAGCTCACCTCTAACTTCAGAACTATAAGATGGAAAAGCAGCAAACTCCTAATATGAGTCAGCATGGTTCTCAGCATCTGCTCCAGAGTATCTGGAGAGCATGAGCCCTGGAGATCAGTCAAAACACCCAACAGCTACCAGCGAACAGTCCAAAGTCCTAAAGAGCAGCTCCAAGCAGACACACAAACCAGGCTTCGGGGAACGGCCATGCAGGCGCATCAGGGTCTAGCCTAAGGCAAACAGGCAGAGTGCAGACAGAGAGGGGGCAGAGCTGGGACCCATTTTCATTTCTGAATGGATAAAGGCAGTACCGGCAGGCAGAACTCCTCGAAAGCTGGCTTCACAAAGGTGGTGTACTGGGTCAGAATCTGTTCCAGGTCCCTCCCTCGGTGCACGTCCCGGAGAACTGCAGCAACAGAGCAAGGTACCACCCTGAGCCCTCCTTGGACCCCTGGGGGATCCCAGCCCCACCCAGGCACCCACAGGCCCTTACCTCTTCGAGACAGCCTAACATCAGAGTCTGTGTCCACAAAGAGGCGCAGGTGGAACATGTCCCGGATCTCCTGCGTGTAGAAGACCAAGATGCCCTCGAACAGAACCACATCAGCTGGGTAGACCACCGTGGTCTCTGGCAACCTGCCAGGGAAAGGCCAGGCCAGGCCTTGCTTGATGGCCCACTTTAGTAACAAGGCCCTGACTGGGGTGGATCCAGCAGAGGACAGTGTGTGGACAGCCCTCTCTCCCCGCCCTCCCAGGAGCTACCTGCTTACCTTGAGTGCGTCACAAAATCATAGGTGGGGACCTCCACAGTTTTGCCTTCAACAATGTTTTTCAGAGTCTTGTGCATCAGATCATTATCAAAAGCATCTACAAGAACATCAAAAGGCCAGGCTACCCAGCTGCCCAGGCAGACGCAGAGACTGCCTCTGCCCAGGGTCAGCACGGCTGGGAGCCAGGGCTGCTAACACCCCACAGCACACCACGGGATGAAGGATAACACTGTCCCACCGGAACTGGGACAGAGACTTTCTGATTGGCCAGCACTGGGGGAAAGAGAGATGATTTGGGCCTCTGCTCCTCTTTGTATCTGGGGAGAGCCAGTTAAGGGTGCTGTTCTCTGACCTTCTTGTGTTCCTAGAAAAACTGAAACTTTCTAGGAAACCTTCCAGACCAGCAAACAGCCCCAAGGCCTGGGCACCAGGTGGCCCTCTCTGAAGGCTGTCCCCAGACAGTTTGGGGCAGTAGGATGTGCAAAGGGTCCCTTAGCAGCAAGGTGCAGGGAAGCAAATTCAACACACTGAGAAGTGACCCTGAAGACCCCTCTGCTACCTCCTTCCCAAGTGGCTCTAACCAAAGTCCTGAACGGCTCCAGGCCCATTCAAGTATGTGCTAGTATGTGCCTCCTTACCAAGTGAAATGAGAGCAAAGCTTCACGAAGTCTCACTGCTTCCAAATTCCAATACATCCCTACCTTGGAAGCTGGTACCCAGGGGTTCTCTCGGTACAGCCTTGGTCATCGTCCACACACACTCGTGTACAGCCTCCCGTGGTAGCCTGCATCCAGCAAACAGCTGTGTGCCTCTAATCTGGCAGCCTGCATCCCACGGGCATCTCCTACAGCCCTGGTCCAGCAGTCTGCATCAGCACGCACCTCTGTGTCTGACTGGCAGTCTACGATCCCGGTAGAGCCTAAGTCGCAGCAAGTCCGCCCTCCACCCCCACCTCTCTAAGCAGTCTGTCTGCATGTACCTGGGTGGTCGAAATTGTACTGTCCCTTCAGGGCCTTAGCCTTCTGCTCTGCCGTCAGAACCTTATAGAAGCAGTCCTGGCTCAGGATGACCAACTTGCGCTGCCGGCGGTCCACTTCGTTTTGTCCCAGCAGCTCCATAATCTTCTCGCACACTGTTGACTGGGGACAGAAAGCGCCGGAAATGGGCTTGAGCAAGTGATCCTCCAGGACCTGGGGGCGGCCCCTCGGCTGCTAGCAACAGGTGACACGGCTGGGCGGGAGACAATGGCGCCCCCACCCGCGGCCCGTCAGTCCCTCCTCGAGGCCCGGGCGCAGGCCACTCACCTTGCCGCTCGCGGTGCCACCGCTCACGCCGATGAGGAACGGCCGCGGCTGGGGACGATCCGCCTCGGACGCGACGCTCTCGCAGCCGCTGCCTGCCGCCGAAGCCATGTCAGCGGCGGCTCTACATCCACGGACTCTGCCCGCTCCCGCCGGGACGCAGGGGCGAACGCTGTGCGCATCGCTTCCGGGGACCAGCACGCATGCGCGCAGGGAGAGCGGACCTCCGCGGAGGCCTAGAAGTGCCTGGGTGACTCCGGAGCGACCCTGGTACCTGGAGGCGGGGCCTGGACTCCGCCCCCCACGACAACCACTCCCTGGAGGGTTTATTTTTGGGTGTGTGTGGGGGGGGGGTCTTTCTTTTTGTTTGTTTTTGCTTGGTTTTCTTTTTTGTTTGGTTTTTTTTTGTTTTGTTTTTTTGAGACAGGATTTTTCTGTGTAATAGCCTTGGCTGTACTGGAACTCGCTCTGTAGAACAGGGTGGCCTCCAACTCACAGAAATCCTCCTGCCTCTGCCTCCCCATACTGGGAGTAAAGGCGTGCGCCACACTGCCGCCTCGAGTTTTCACTCCTGGGCAAGGTGAGAGTCTCCACCCCACGCATCTGTAGCCGCCTCCATTTCCCAGCACAGCCGCATCCTGACACATTCACCGATGTATCTAGGGCCTTCTCTGCTTAGCTCAACCGCGCCTCCTGCCGCAGGTGCCCCTCCTCCCTCAAGCTGGGAACACGTCATTCTGAGACATTTAGGAAGACCTATCTCTCCCTGGTGCATTATTTGAGTATCCTAAGAATCTGTTAGAATCTTTTCCTTTTTAGAAAGAATCTTGCCACATAGCCCTGGCTGCCTGGAACTATGAAACCCAGACTGGTCTCATCCTTGTAGCAATTCTCCTGTCTCTGTCTCCTGAGGTTGGGGATTACAAGTTCGCACCACCATGCACAGCATTTTAAAAAATTAAATACGATTTTAATTGTGTGTGTGTATGTGTTATAGGTGTGTGCATATGAGTTCAGTGCCTGGGGAGGACCAGGTCCCCAGAAAGCTGAAGTTACAGATAGTTGTGAGCTTTGTCCATTGTGGATGCTGGAAACTGAACTCTGGTCCTCTGCAAGAGTAGTACACACGCTTTTTAAAATATTCCCCTCAGCTGGGCGTTGGTGTTGCACGCCTTTAATCCCAGCACTCAGGAGGCAGAGGCAGGCAGATCTCTGTGAGTCTGAGACGACCAGCCTGGTCTACTGAGCAAGTTCCAGGACAGACTCCAAAGCAATACAGAGAAATCCTGCCTCAAAAAAACAAAATAAAAAATATTTCCCTCATATTATTATCATTATTAATTATTATTATTTTGTTTTTTTTTCAAGATAGGGTTTCTCTGTGAAGCCCTGGTTTCCTGGAACTCGTTCTGCAGACCAGGCTGGCCTGGAACTCACAGAGATCCTCCTGCCTCTGCCTTTCAAGTGCTGGGATTGAAGGTGTGCGCCACCATGCCTGGCTTTAAATTCCCATTGTAAACATTGCTCCTGAAGTTCATTTTCCATCAGTAATTAAGGTGTTGGGAGATGGGGTAACTCAATTAACTGGACGCTACTGGACTCTCAGCCCTGCTGCCTGCCTTGAACAAAGGTTCTGGCAGTTCAACAGGCAACTCAACTCCTTTTACGTCAGGACTAATCTTTGCCACACTTGGCAGAGGCTTTGGGAATGCTACACACTGAGCAGAGCCCTGAATCACAGCCTCACAGGGCTGTTTCACTTTGTACCAGACTCTCCTATCGTAAGCCTCTCTAAACTCTGATGACTGTGCAGCTGTTCCACCGAGACCAGCATCAGTAAACTGATCATCCACAGCAAGCCCGTCTCAGAGGGACAGGGCAAACAGGCTTCTGGGAGTCAGGGAAGAGACACTAAGAGACTCAAGATTGAATATAGCAAGCACGTCACCCAGCTGTCCCTCCTGTCCGTATCTACGTGTTTGTTTAACTCCGGGTGTCAGTTTAGCAGGCTAGCTAGAGCCTTCTCCGTTCTTGCCCTATATCCCCCTCCCCACGCCTTATTCTCTTATGTCTACTTTCCCAAAGGACACACGTCAACTGGTCTGAGGGTTCTAACTCAGCCTCCTGAGAGATGGAACCCTTCTGCATTATCTGGCTGCCTCTCTTCAGTCTACCCTTCTGCATGTGCTCCCCTCCCTATTTTTTCTCTACCAAACCAAAGTAGCCAGTAGTCTTACTTTGCTGTTTTCCTCTGTTCTTTTCTCCACTCATTTTCTCGGGAATTAATATATTGATACTCGCCGGGCGTTGGTGGCACATGCCTTTAATCCCAGCACTCGGGAGGCAGAGGCAGGCGGATCTCTGTGAGTTCGAGACCAAGCCTTGTCTACTGAGCAAGTTCCAGGACAGCCTCCAAAACAATACAGAGAAACCCTGTCTCAAAAAACAAACAAACAAAAAAATATATATATTGATACTCACCAACCACCAGTGTCTCTTTGCCCTTTGAAATGATTGGTGCTTGAAGGCTGATTATTTTCCAGTTGACAATTACTGGGTTTTCATAGAAGGCCTATTTGGCGGTGACTGTTTTGCAGACAGAATTCTACTGTGCCCTGGACTTCAATCTGACCAAGAAAAATGACATTGCAACCCTACTATAGCCTAGTCTGTCTTGAACCCTGAATGAAGAAAGGAAAATAAAATTTGAAAAAAGTTCTACCAATAATGCCAGCTGCATAAGTCCCCACAAAAGAACACAGGAAATACTAAAAATCAAGACTACATGTTTCTTCCCCAAATACTAATCACATCATAATGGACAACAAGGAAAATGACTTAGGCGAGATTCCAGACAAAGAATTAAAAAGAATGACTCTAAATATGCTGAAAAAAATTTACTCTCAAATGAGTTCTAACAGCTAAATGAAAATGGAATTCCACACAGAGAGGAATACTGAAGTAAAACCAAATTGAAATGCTGGAAGTGAACATAGCATCATCACCTCAGCACCTAGCCGATGGGTGTTCACCAGTCATTCATGTAAGGATTCAATTATTATGCTGGCCTGCCCCTGTCACCTGGCAGAATGCACTCAGGCAGCACTCTGGTCAGCCCAGGGTTCCATGAGAACCAGTCTGCACATGGGTGCACAGGACCGACCCCTTTAAAGGACAGACCCCGCCCACTTCCTCTTCTCTCTTGTCTCTCACCCTTTGCTCTTCCTCTCTCTCTGTCTCTTCACCCCCTCTCCCTCTCCCTCTCCCCTCTAATAAACTCCATGGTTAATGAATCTCTTGGTTCGTGTTTCATCACACGCCAGAAATGTAAACTAAAGAACAATTCAGACATCCTTCATGAAGTGGACCCTTCCGCGACAAGGTCACCCCAGGCATCAGTTGTCCTCTTCCACAAACAGAGAGGTGAAGCCAGCACCTCTGTGTGCTGTGTCTACGTACTCCACGCTGAGCTTTCCCGATCAGCACAGACAAAAGCAAGCAGAAAGCTGTGTGTGTTATTTGTAGGAAGCTAAGGCCTACAAGGCCAAGAGATGAGTCAGTGGAGTGTGCCTGAGGGCCTAGCCACAGGCGCCGTCAGAGGTCCTGGTCCTGCCTCTCCAGTGAGGGCCATCCACACGATATCACCAGATGGGAAGGCAGTCTGGGTGCTGGGAGGAGGGTTTAAGGCTCTCCCGTCGATGAATAAGCAAATCTGCTGTTTGCCTTTTACCTGACTCCACGAGAGAGTTGTTAGGACCCAGCTACATCTGGCGTCTGAACAGGTTCTAGTAGTCTCCCTCTCTTCCCTCGTGGCGCTGGACAGCACCCCCAAATGGTGTGCTTTAGTGAGAAGTGTTATGGTGAAAACTTTGCCCAGCCCCTGGCATCCATGTATACAAAGAGTCTGGAAGGTTATAGTGGAAGTTCCACCCAAGGCCCCCTCCCTCATTTCCCTCCAAAACTGTCCCCCAGAGAACAGACTCGTGTTTTTTCTGGTCTCCCTTCCACCTCTCCTCTCTGGGGGACTGGAAGGCCACCCAGGAGCACTGTATCCATTAAACATGGGCTTTTTCTAATTCAGTTTGATTTGGTCTGATTTGGATTGCTGTATTGGCAGAGAGGCTTATAGGGGTGTGGAGACTTTTCAGGAAGACCCCTCGATGCTGTGTTTGGTTCCCTTGGCAGGTAAGCGCTGAGGTCCTGTCTCTCCCCCTTTTGTGTTGGAGGCCGTGCTTGTCTGCCTGCCCAGTTAAAAAGGCACATTTTTTTTCTGTTCCGGTTCTCCCGGCACCTCCACATAAGGGCTGACCCCCAGGAGGTGGAGCCAGGGCTTGACTCTCAAACATGTCTCTTGTCCAGAGACATCATGTGGGTATATGGCCATGGCCTAAAAAACCACAGAAGTCTGCCACTAAGCATAAAACATAAAGGTCCAACACAAATCTCCACCCTTGTTGACGGCTGCCCACCAGCTGCCTCCCTCTACAAAATGAGTAACCTCTTCACCTGCACACCTTCCGTGTCTGATCTCTCTACAGCATCCAGTGACGACACAGACATTTCAAGCTCTATGAAACCTGCTGAGGAGAGCGTGGCCACAGTTAAAACCACACGTGCTGCTCCCCAGTCAGCTCCTGTCTGGCTGCAGGAGGATATACCTCCACTGCAGTATTCTTGGAGTGAAGTGCCTCAATGTTTACCTGCCCTGATGGTAGAAATTTCCTTGCGCTACGGTATGATCCCCAGTTACCAAAGCCCCTACCCCCCACCCCAATCTGTTGGAGCTGGTCCCCTTTCTTAGCTGAAAATTGGCTTACAATGATCAGGCAGAAGTTCAAGCACAAACAGACCTGGTAATGCTCTGGTGACCCTTGACATGCTCACCAGGTGAGGTAGCTGTCCATCCCGTCCATCAGGCACAGATTGGCCATCAAGCCTACTACTACAGGCTTCTGACCTGGCCTTCAAGGCTCTTAAGGCATGCACCTCTATGGCCCCTTCAGCTTACTTCCATAATCATATTCAACAGCCAGGGGAACATTTTACTGATTTTCTTGCATGTGTCAATAAGGCAGTAGAGCAGAGAGCAGACCTGGGTGCCACTAGGGAAAAGGTAATGAAACAGTTGGTTTGGGAAGGGCTTAATGCCCCAACATACAATGTAGTCACAGCAGTCCGCCATGAGGACATTCACTAGTGGGTATTGGTCACAAGACATCTTGGCTCCAATAACAGCCCCATCGCTGCCCTC